CCCCCTGTCGCTGGTCTCTCTCCCTCTCAATATTCTCTTCCCCCTGTCGCTGGTCTCTCTCCCTCTCAGTGTTCTGTTACCCTCCTGGCATTCTTGACCCCCACTTTTTTACCTGCTCACCCTGTCCTCACTCCTCTTTTTTCTCTTATTTTCTTATCTTTCTCCTCTTTCTTCTCTTCATTTCTCATTCCATTTCAATTCCTCATTTGATTGCCTTCCCCCACCAGCCAACATCCATCTGCTCACTGCCCCCCCATGCTGTCGTGTCCCCCCCCCTTCTTGTGAGACATGCCTGTTCATACCCACAAGTGCCCCATGTTCTGTGTCTGACTCTCCATGTTCCAACGTTAATACCCCCCCATTGATTTCCAGTATGTTCCAGTCTGTCCCCCCTGCTCCCCCATTGATTTTCAGTATGTTATAGCAAGTGCACCATTGTACCTCAGAATGTTCCAGTACACACAAACCCCTATGTGTCAACAAGCTCAGACATATGTTGCACATAAGACAAGCTGTGTACTATAGCCTTGCTCATCAATGTATTATTTCTAAAAAAATATATATTAAAAATTACGCTTCAGTATGGATACTACTTTTACTTAAATAAGCCTTTTAAGATATATTTCACTTTATCTGGAAGTAGATTTTGCTTTAAAACCTCTCTGTTTTGTGTTTCTGTTCATCTTTGATAAGACTTAAAGGGTCTTTTTCAGCACAGTGTTCACTAAACGTTGTGACATTATACTATTTTCATAAGAGAACAAATGTAATGACTAAAACAGCTTAATATTATCCAAAGTATATTAATGATTGCTTATTTAGTAATACAGCATATATTTGTACATAAATAAAAGGAAATATAAATATTATGAAATATAAACAAACAGGTGACACTGGAACACGGTTTTGGCTGAGTGGGGTGAGTCGGCACCCTCTGCAGGGTCACACGGTTCTCTGCCGGCTTCCCGCTGGTTTCCACTATGTAAAGGTCTGCGAAAGGGCAAAAAATGCTTTGTCTGAAGGCATGGATCTTATGCTCCCCCAGGTAAACGGGACTGACGGGGAAGTGGAGTATGAGGAGATCACACTGGAGAGGGTAAGGCGGCCCATGGCAGGCACCCAGCAGTGCCTCAAAATCCCACTGTACCATGACTTGCACGAATGGAACCCAAACCCACCCGGCGTTTAGCCGTTTGTTTGCGGGACTGCGGGTGGGGGTATCAGGCACTCCTCACGGGGATGGGGGGTTCCCTGAGTTAGAAACCCTTCAGCTCAGTACCCCTGAGGGCCCGTCTCGTTTTTCATAAACCCAATAACCTGCCGGAACCATGATAATGTTTTTATCTGTTGAGTGGTGGCAGATTGAGGCAGAGTACCAGTAGGTAATGAGGTTAATGATTGTACAGATCAGCTGCGCTGCTGTGTCAGGAACTGCAGCAGCGTTCCTCAGCACTGAGTCACGGTCTGTTTGTCACCCGATTTTTTTAGCAGTTGGAGGATCTAAATCCTGATGTGCAGCTGTATGTGTGTGTGTGTGTGTGTGTGCGTGAGTGCCTTTACATGATGTGCGGGTTTATATTTACCACATTGTGGGGACCAAATACTTTTTAGCTTAGGGTTATACCCATAGAGATGGATGGAGAGTCCCCATAATGATAGGAATATGTGAACTCCACATGTGTACATGTGTTGGTTTATAGGGAAACTCGGGCCTGGGCTTCAGCATTGCCGGGGGGACGGATAACCCTCATGTTGGGGACGATCCCAGCATCTTCATCACCAAAATCATCCCGGGGGGGGCAGCCGCTCAGGACGGCAGACTCAGGTGTGTGCCGGTTTCCTCCTCATCTTCGCTCGGCTCTCATTCCCCGTCTCCATAGCAACACATGCCGTAACGCACCAGTAGGTTGTCAGTTCGGAACCCGGGAGGCAGCTGCCAAGCCTTTAATTGGTTTAATCCTACTGTGTGAGACCCATCCTGCTCTTCCATACATCAGAAAAACCGTCCTCTGTCTCTCTGAGTCCTTTATGCCACATTTATCTGCAGAGTTTGTTGCCATGTGCAGATCATTCCCTGCCCATGTGTGAGACTAATGTCTGACTGTAAAATGCCATCCGCTCATTTATTCAAGGGGCTTTCACACATTCTGATTGGTGCTGGAAGCTGATGGCTCCCTACCAACAGATATCCGCACAGGGGACCGTCAGGGCGTGCATCTGCTGTGGGCTTTGAACATAAACCCTCCTTGACCCACTGGTGCTGTTCTCTATACCCTGCAGCCCTGGAGGTTTTAGCCTGGTTACCCATGGTAAATGATAGTGACTAAAGCTGGTGAGTAAATCTGGATAACCAGTAGGTTGGGTAAACAGAGGTTTCAGACGGAGGTTTCGCAAAGCTGAACCATCGTGGAAGCGCAAGGGCGGGTCGAGAGAGAATCCAGGCTAAATATAGCGGCGTGTTGCCGGAATGGGCCTCCAGAACCTCGGCAGGGCGAGCGCTGGCAGGAACTGCGGGCAGCCGGGAACTCAGATGTTCTCACATCTCAGGAGACTTATTTGAGAGAGGATGCAGAGGTGGCATAGTCCCGGGGGATTATGGGTACTGTAAAGCCCAGGTGTGCGTTCAGAGCTGGTCTGGGGTGCATCGGTCTCTTATTCACCTTCTTAACATATTTCCCACCTTCTTTTGGTAAACTGGGCGCCGTCCACTGTGGGATCAAAGCTTCATTCTCCCCCTGACCTCCTCTGTGCGGGCCGGGAAGGTGACACACGACCTTTATGTCCCCACACTCCTGTGACACTCACACACAGCTGCAGCCCCGGCGCTGGCTTATGAGAATCAATTAACGAAAATGCCACGCGATGTTAATCACAAGGCCGCGGCATTTTTCGCTGTGCTTGCGCCGTTTCCGCGGTCACCGCTCTTTTCGTTGCGATGACGTTTACGTCAGTGATTCCGTTCGCCGCGTTTACAGGACCGGCGGACCTTGTTGGACCCTGTTGATGCGTGAGCTCCGAGCCGGGGGGGGGGGGGGGGGGGTC